GCCGCATAGACACATGGCCTGGCTATGTGGCTAGCCTCACAATGGCCGCACACATTCAATTGTTGCACACCAAATCAATCAATTATGTAAGTGACCAATCTTAACCATTGCACAATGTTTGCTTCTCGTCGCTTAAGTGCCATTTATTTCGATAATTTGTTTGTCTTACTTCTTTTGCCTCTTGTTTTTTTTTTAAATTTCTTTTTACCAATTTTTCACTTTGAACTTTGGTTTCCATTAGATTAATTGAGTATTTTTTAGGCAGCTCTTTTTAGAAAAGTGCTTTCTTTTCTTTACATTCTCAACTGAGACAACAAATTACGCATTTTTTCTTGAGTGACATTTTCAAGCGTTCAACTGGCAATCCTTCTCTGCTTTAAAATTGTTATTGTTGTTGGCTTTCAGTTTATAAATATAAAATATACACTTCTTGAACAATCAATTGCTTTCTGTACGATTTGCGATTCACTTGAAAATCTAAAAAAAACTATCAAGGCGAATAATTGATCAGTTTTTTTTGTTTAAAATATAAACATCAAATATTATACTATTGTTATAATTTAGCCTTTGTGCGGCATCCTTAGGAGCTTTACTACAGCTCAGCACATCATTTCTGGAAACAGCATGCATCTAGGCTTTCTTATACACATATATATGTATATGTACATACATATCTCTTTAACTTTTCATCTGCTGACTTATGTGAAGCTGACAGCATATGTGAAGCTTGCTTTTTTTTATTAATATTATTTTACTCTTTGCTCCGTCTTATGCATTGTTTAGGTTTTCGCATGGTTGCCATCTGTTTCCATGTCCATAAGCTTCTTTATTTTCAGAAATTGTGCTCTGGTTGTTTCTTTGGTAATTGCTTTAATACTGTTCGTATCTGCATATGTGCATTGTAGATTTCGTTCTGCCCTTCTATGTTGCATTACGCATCCGCCACGTGCACGTCGCTTTGACAAGCAGCAAAGCATAACATCATGTGGATTGGATTGGGAATTTCGGAGAAAGGGTTGACTTGTGGCGTTATATATGCTACGAATATAACGGCTGCTACGAATATGCATGGCTACTGACATAACATATATCTCATGCTCCATTTGTCAATGCTGGGGCAGCAACATGCAAAGCTGCAGCAGCGACATGTGAAAACCATTTGCAACTAACGTCTCTGCATCTATCCATGTCTGTGCCCCTTATTTTCCTCTGTTGCTGTCTCATTCTGTATGTAACAAAAGATGAGTTGCACTTGAGCATGCTAAAATGCGTTATTAAGTGCATAAATATGCAATGAGCGGAGCTTTTGCCACCGCCCTCCACCCTACACATCTAGCTACCGTTAACAATGACGCTCAGGTGAATAGGGTCGTCCAGGTATGGGGAGAGGGGTGCTGGCAAAATGTGCGAAGAGCTTTTGAAATTTAATAAAATGCAAATGCAAATGCAAAGCCTGTGAAACAGACATATGCAATTTAAAATGCCCCGCCCTTAAGCCCAATGACCCTGCTTGCCCCATTCCCATCCCGCCTCCTTTGTCACGCTAATGAGTTGGCCCCGTCTCGTTGCACACACAACACACAACGCCGGCCAAAAACGACAACAACGACGACGACAACGACAATGAGCATTGTATGAATTATGCAGCTCGCAGGATCAAGAAAGGATGTACTGAAGCGCTTGCTCCCCGCCACCACAAATTTGCGGTAATGGCAAAAACATGTCCACAATTACCTAGAGCCGAGTGTGCCAAATACTTGTATTCAATTATTTTAAATGCAAATGTGAAAATAAACTAAGCGACGCAACCCAAAAAAAAATTAACAAAAAGCTGCAGAAAAAAAAATCGATAATTACAACTTTTATGGCTGGCATGGAAAAGGATCAAAAAGGTGAGCACGTGCACACCGCCAGCAGGCAAGCACACACTCAGATTACACACACATACACACACACACAAACGCAGACACCTGCCAGTCGTCATGAGCACGAACCAAATGGGTTGGTCTCTCCGAGCCTTTGGCTTTTTGAACGAGCTAAAGAGCAAGAAGATAGTGAATATGCTGCAACGCGACACAGCATATCGAAACTGAATTACTCTTGCCAATGTGAATGAAAATAATTGCAAGCAGAAATGTATATATTTAGACATATAATAAACAACAAATAATTTATTATTGTAACGTGTAACGTGGCCATAATGTTTAAATGTTTTCAAGGTTGCGGAAGTTGAAAAGCTAAAAGAAACATTCCTAAAGCATTTATAAAAGACATACTCTTCTTAAAAAAAAGTGTTTAAAATAGTTAGAAGAATTATTATTATTATTTGTAATATCGGAAAAATAATTTTAAAAAATAGCCCAGCTATTTTTTTTTAACGGATGTCAAGATGTTATGTTAGGAGAAACACTCCTCCATTATTTGGGAACTGTTAAAATGAAATCTTTATCTAAAATGATAATAAAAAAACGGATGTTAGAAATGGATTATATTACTTTATTGTTTGGAAGGGTAAAGTAAATATATAAATTTATTAACATACATTAAGGGAGAGTAAAGTAAAAAACAGTTTTTATCATTATGAATAAACTTATAATCCAAATCGATTGAGATAATTAAACAAGAATACAAAATTGGATTGCTTGAAAAATGTTTCAGTTCTTAAAAGGCTTTTTATATGCTTATTTCATGTAATAAATATATTATTTGTTGTCCATATACTATAAGCTCTTCAACAAAAATACGACATCGTTGCTATGGCAAGAGTATAAAAAAAGAATTCCACACACGCCCGTCCCCCTCCCACTCTCCCACTCTCTCTCGTCAAATGCTCAATTCACAAATTCACTGCTAGCGCTCAAGTTGTGAGCCCTGAGCCCTGGGTTCATGGTTCTCAGCTGTCTGCTGTCGACTGTCGACTGTCGAGACTGTCAGGTTGTCAGGTTGTCGGTTGGCGGCTGTGCCAAGCCTTTTCACACTTGGCCCAAGTGGCAAAATGTTGTTACGTGAGCATTAAACCATATTTTAAGTTATTAAGTTATTGACAAAAGCACACGTCACCCCTTTACTCTTCATTTTTTTTTTTTTTTTGTTCACCATTTGCCAAGGCTCGCCTCGTGCGCTCGTCTTTGTCAGTGGATGTGAATGGGGGTGTTGGTGGTGCTGGGAGGGGGCTGGGGGTTGCTTGGTGCCCCAATGGCAGCCAGCCAGTTGCCAGGCAGAGGGCAGGGCGTGTATATGGATGACACTTGTGCGCTGCTTATCCGTTGTTGTTTACAATGCCAATGCCACGCCTTAGAGCTACAGCTCTACACACACACACACACACCCATACACACACACACACACATACATATAAGACAGTCATAATGCCTGTATTATATATGTCTGCACATAAAAACTGTAAGCGGCACGCATAAAAAGAAATTTTCAATTTGGCCCAAGCTGCCGCCATAGGCGCCTCCAGTCCACCCCACTGCTCCCTGTTTGTTTTTTTTCTGTTTTGGCTTCGGTCTTTTGGGAACTGCGGCAAATTTGTTAAATTTTTACAAATTTCTGTTTTGAATTAAACATAAATATGGTCATAAGTTACTCCCTAGGTACAACTGCCCCTGGCTCCCTTCCTCCTTCAGACATAATCATCTGCTTTGCCTGGTCTGGCTTCATCTTTCATCTGGCTTATGTCTTGGACAACTTTGCTGCTGCATTTTTTTCTGGCGCTCAGTGGATTTTCTGGTGTTTCTTTTGCCTTTGTCACATCGCATATCACCTGCATTTTATTACCTTTATACCCATGTGGTGTGGCAAGGAAACAGTTACAACCCTAATGGTCATCTTGTGGTTAGCGGATTTCGTATTTTTTTTGTGCAAGCAGAGTCAACTTATGCCATCCGCAGACTGCTGTAAATAATTTAGTCCTTAGAAAGTGTCAATTTCTGTAGTTGAAAAGTTTTCATCTTTGCTTTCTTGATTTTTTTTTTGTATATGTTTTGACTTGTTAGATTAAAAACGTGAGCAAAATAACTTTTCTTGATACAACCATTCATGCAAAGATGGATTTTATAAATGAAATTCTTCTTCGTTTTGCTTTTATACTAAGTTTCAGTTTAGCGAAATATTATTCAAATAATTAAAAATTTACTTTGAATTTTTTCTATGGGAACTATATTATAAATATATAATAAAGTGTCCTGATTGTGAGCAGTTGAATAAAATACCCACGATGCTTTAGACCTCTATATAGAGTATCACCAAGTCGGGGCGAATCCACTCTACACAATTGTACTTGTTTTATATCTGCTCGGGTCGCCTGCAAATGGCTGGAAACAAAGCGCATAATATACAGTTTGGGCAGCACACTTGGACATGTTTTTGAGGGGTTGGTGTCGTCATGGGTGGATTGGGGTTTTGAAATAGTTTTGTAGAGGCATCTGCGATTGCCTGCTGGTCGTGCTGGACATGACGGCCTTCACAGCAGCCGCACCAGCAGCACATTGAGTTAATTTTGTATATGAAAGCAGCAGAGGAAGCAGAGGTTTTTAAAAAGTTTTTCACATGTAAGTGGCAAGTGGCAGCAGTGGCTGCCGGGAGGCACTACGAAAGAGGGGTAGGTGCAGGCAAATAAACAGTCAACAGTGCTGGTCAACTGCCGTTTAGCAGTCCAAAGAAAAATAACTCTATGTTGTGTGTGTGTGTGTGTGTCTGTTTGTGTGTATGTGTGTGTTACATACGTCAGCAGAGTTTTACACTTTTCCTTTTCCTTTTCTTGCGCTGCCAAATCAACCACCGTCGTCGTCGTCGCAGTCGCAGTCGTCGCCGCAGTCGCCGTCGACGCAGATAATTTGCCAAGTAAGAGCGAGAAGGAGTAGAAAGAGAGAGTGAGAGTCGTCTCAGGCGGGGAGGGGGGGTGGCGTTGAAGCGAATGCCATGACCTACTTTTGTGGCAACTTTTTCAATTTGTTTGTCATCGAGTGCGCGGGTGTGGTATGTGAACACTGCTATTAACTTGGCCAAAACCAATTCGTTTATTTGGATTAAAGATTACAGAATATGATACATATATATATATAAATATATATATGTGTTTAAATATATATATGTGTTTATATGCCCCTAAACACTACTCAAAAAGCTTTTTCTAACTAATATACCCAAAATACGAACGCTCATCGAATTATGCAACAGCAAATAGCATTAGACCCAACATTGAGGCATACAGTCGTTGCTGCACCGGACGCTGCTGATCCAAACCAGCATTTGGTATGCTCGGCACCATGTCCTCGGCTCGTATCGTATGCATTACGCCATCCTCCTCGGTGTCCTCTGAGCTATCCTCCTCATCCTCCAGCGGAGAGAGTGTGGATTGTCCTGTCAGCAGGAGTAGCTGCATTCGCTGCAGCGGTGTCAAGTGCGCCGTGCGCGGCACACCCGAGCTACTGCCTGGTTCAAGGAAGGGCCTATAGTCTGGTGGCGGGACATCGAGCCCCCGATACCCATAGACAAACATTTGCACAAACAGCGAGCTGGTATTAAAGTCCGTAATGGTCGCTTTCAGGGTGCTTGGCGAATAATGACTGTACTCGGCAACGGGTGCCATATAATCATCAGCGGTGGCTAACTTGTTCGTAAAGTGCTACAGATAAGAGGCGAAAGAGTTTGTGAATTAACTTGTTCAAAGTCATCATCATCATCACCATCAGCCTACTCACATCGAAGATGACAAACTTGATGTAGGTGATGTAATCGCTGTCAATGTAGTAGAAGAGTACGGTGCGATTTATCTGCCCCTTGGGCTCATCCGAAGATGTCTGAAATGTTTCATACAACAAATCGTCACCTATTAGGGAGAAACAGAGAAAGTTATTGACAAAATTAAATGAAAACTTAATATGAAATTATGTTCCACACTTTAAATATCTAACTCTTCTATAAAGACAGACGACAGATCGATTCGGCCGATAAAGAATCTTGATACTTTCTGCCTGTTATGTGCTTTTACTCTTTTTAACTATTTGCAATGAGTTCAGTTTATAACAAGGCTGATTGTTGGAATTAGTTGGAACTCTGAAGGAGTAGCTCGAAAAGCATATTGTAGTTACCCTCTTGCCGTTCGCCAATTTGAATGATCTTGTCCTTGTGCTCAAAGTCCGGTGGAAAGGTGGGTGATTCGCTGCTATCGTCATCATCATCATCATCGTCCTCATCCATGTCCACTAGCAGTTGCTCGCGCTTGGCATTGTCATAGACATCGTCGAAGACCTCCTCGTACTCATCATCATAAGGCTTCAGCACGCCCTCGAACTGTGTGTCCCGATTGACAAGCAGCGCTGGATTCACATTCAGCATGGTCTGATTAAAGCCAAAGATATTGATGATCACATCAAAGGCCGACGACAGATCCTCAGTATTAGTCGCTTCGATCTCACTCTCATTGTTAGCCAACATACGGACCACGCCCACAACTAGACTGTCCGTATAACTGAATTTCACCTCGGCCGAAATGTTCTGCAAATGAGATGATTGATTATCAAGTTGTTCAATTAGGCGATTTAATCAAGCATGCCAAATGATGCTTGCCATGCCTCGCTGACATTCGCATCTAACGTCAGCAACGCTTTTTTCTACTGTTTATGTTTTTCCAAAAAAAGAAGAAAAAAATTAAAAGAAAAGAAAAGAATATATATATATATATGCATATATACTCAGTCTCGCATTATAAATACTAGTTGGGGCATTGTACATATATTGCACGGTTTTCTTGCGAAATCTGGCGTCATGAGTAGCTCAAGTATTGCCTTATTTAAAAAACATTTACACTTAATGTACATACTTATTTGCATTATATATATATACATATATTTGTGCAATTTCCTCTGCCCATCTCAGAGTGATGCGGTCCGAGACTCAGTCCCAGTCCCAGAGCCAATGCCAAAAAGTCAAATAGCCAAATTGTCAGCTGATTTGACATGTGTACTATATACTCATATATATATATATATATATATATCCTAAAAGAGGGTATAACCAAAGTGTCACGAATTGTGGAAGTCTTTGAAGAAAATTAAAGGATAATAATTATTCTTTGACAGATTTTGAAATAACATCCGAAGCTATCTTCATTAATTTTGACACATATTCATATTTATACCGTAGGAGGCTGTCGGAACGGATTACTATATGCAGCTGCCATAGGAACGATCGCTCAAAGACAAAGACTTTAATGAAATACATTTTGGATATTCAAGCAAAACTTTCGCCTTATGCGTATAAATATGCTTCTAATATTTGGATAAAAAATCACAATATCGAAAAAGGATTTTTTGTAAACAAAATTTTGTTGTTTACCCCGTAATTTTTTTACCAAACACAGTTCAATAAAAAGATCATTGGAATCGGACTACTATAACATATGGTTCTCAAAGGAACAATTGAGTTAATGTGTGAAAAAGTTTTTTATTTAACAAATTATAACCAAATCATGAGTTATTCTTGTTATTATGCTCTTCACAGTTGCACCACATATCAGATTACTATAACTATGTCATATAGCTTACCTAGGAACAATCGGTTGGCTTTTTACATTTAAAGTATAATTAACTTTTCGACAATTTGAGTCCGTCTACAAGAAACTACGAAAACCCTTCGTTCTTATGTGTACTCAATTATTCTTAGGAAAATATGATTTAAACTGTTTCGATTTTAAGTGTAGTCTGGCAACTATGGAATGCACATATTTCGAATTCTGTTTAACCTAATCTATTTGGTAATGAAAATTTTTTATGGCTAATATTGTACAGCATCTGGCACAGGCAACTGCTTTATATAAGCCCGAAAAAAACATTAAAATCGAGTTAATATGCATATGTTGTTATATTTTTATTTTTTAATTAGTTTGTCGCATTTGCTCGCCCATGTGGCCAATTTGTATCCAACTAATAAACGAACTCGATCCTAAGGCAATAATCTGCGCATCTAATGGCCAAACAAAATGATATGGCAAACATTGGGCTGCGAGTGCCGCACAGACGCCGCGTACTAAATATAAATAAATACATATCTATATAGTGTTCTATTTGTTTTTTTTTCGTGTTGTGTTTTTTTTTTGTTTTTTTTTTTTTTTGTGGGCACTTTTCGTGTGAAAGAAAAAGCCAAGCGAAGCAAAATTCGTTTCTATTTTGGTCTGGGAAATATGCAAAAACACATCGAGGATTCAGACGACAAAAACTTACTTCCTCCGAGACGATTTCAATGTAGGTTATCGGCTCGTTAATGTTATAGTTGAAACTAACACTAGCTGGCTCACTGATGCTGGCAGGACGCGAATGTTGCACGTCCTTCAACAGCAGCTGATCGCCCTGAATCCGCTGCCCGACGCCCAGGTATCTCTTGGCCTGAACACCACTTTGGAAGAGCAGCGCTTGACCCGTGATTAACAGCAGCAATGCGATTGCTGCAGGCATTTTTCAATTAGTATTTTTGTTAATTATATCAGGAAGTGGAACGCGCGATTTTATGAATAAAAGTTCTTTGAACGCGCCGCGGCAAACGAACGCTGGCAACTGATTTGGAGATCTTGCCTCGAGCCTACGCTGAGTACGTGTTGACTGATCAGCAAGCATTTCACTTTCAACCAGCAATAGCGACACAGAGAGAAAAAGAGTGGGAGAAAGAGAGAGTACATGCGCAGAGAGAGAGAGAGAGAGATAGAGAGAGAAAGATCGACAACTGCAGGGCATTTGGGAGCGCAGTTTTTACTTAAATTATATATACACTCAGAGGAAAATGCTTTTCTATTTTTTCGTATTTAATTGTTTTCAGATATATGATAATATATATCAAAATACAATTTGCAATGTTCTTTTCTTAATTATTTTTATTTAGAATACACTTAAATAAGTATATTGTTCTTGATGTCAAAATTATTTGACGATGTTACAGGAACAAGCATGTTAGTCCTTAAAATATTTTTAGAACTTATTTCCTAATTGAATTTTTTAAAGAGGATATCAGGATTGATTTTGTTAAATAATTGTATATCTTAAATACTTGCTACAAATAGATTTAGTTTTAATTTGAGATACCAGGATTAATTGTAATACTCTTACAATTAACGAAACATCAAACTTCAAGAAAGAAAATTGTATTAAAAAGCTCAGTATTATATTTATCAATATATTTTAACATTTTTTTTATTAATATATTATTAGACCTGCTTTTAAAAAGTTTGTACTTTATGTCAGAAAATAATGCTCAATTGTTTTTCTTAGTGTACTTAGCGCTCTGCGTGCACTTTAGGCATTTTGTTGCTTTTCGGCCATTTCTCAGCTGCCTTTTTGGTAGAAGACGTCGCGTGTACTTGACCTCATATACATATATATAAATATATATATATATATAAACATATATATGGATGTTTAACGTTGGGCAACAAAACGCAACATAGCCAAAAGAAAATAAAATCTGGAGACACCCACCCAAAGAGCCTGTTTTATAAATGACCGCCTGCGACCCCAAAAATAGAAACTGCTGACCAACAACCTTTTGCGCGTAGCAAAAATAGACACCAAATTAGCATGGAACATGAATATATATATATATATATATATATTAAGTTTATATTGCTTAGGGTTATCGCATAAATATTTAATAGCTTTGTGCCAAACGCACAAATATATTTATTACAAGCGATTCGCAAGCATATATCGTACAGTGTATATATTCCTTGAGTAGATATTTCATATTTGCAGATAGATATGTATGTAGTACATATGTTGTGTATCTTTCATATGTTGATTATATTTGTACGTAGATACGTATGTATGTAGTATATCGTTCCCTCAGTTATTTTTTTTAAAGGTAATCAAAGCATAAGTGTATTTTAATTATGTCGATTCTATGGAATTGATTTCAATGATAAATGCGGTCATCGCTAATAGCACATTAAATTTTAATTCATTTTCCTGATAAAACCAATATAACTATTATGCATTCAAAAACATAATTGCGCATACGCAACGTTCAACGAAATGTTAATTTGATTTATTTGTGCTTTATTTATTTACTGTACATTAAAATTATGCTTTGTTGTGCGGCGGGATTATGTAAATATGCCGCAGAGTCTTGTTAAAATTATCAAACGATTATACACAGGGATTTCCACTATTGTGGCGGCTCTCAGTGTGTGCAACATGCAGAAAGTGGAGGGTTAAGCGGGAGATGCATAATTGAAAAATTCAGGTATTTTTTAATGAAAAAAATTGCAAAATTAAATTAATTCAAATTTGTGTGTGTTGAGCGCTTGAAAATGGAGCGCGATGAAAGGAAGAGCAACATCGATGCTGCAGTATACTGTGCAACCGCAATTTATGGCTGCCACACGGACAACAACATGCCACATGCTGCACCCAAAACAAACGAAAAAAAAAAAAAAAAAAGAAGAAAAAGCAAACACACTGCAGTTGAGCTGCATTGAAAAGCATTTGGGTGATTTGTGTTGCATTGAAACTTTGTGAGCCACAATCTAAATGGGAATCAGCTGAGCAAGCTTTATGTTGCCACAAACAAGTCTAGGACCAATTATGTAGCCAACAAGGACAACGGAAGTTTTTGCTGATTCGCAATCAGAGCAATTTCCGCATTACACTTCGATGAGCGCAAAGGCAATGGCAACGGCAAAGTCAGACGCAAGCTGTGGCAGCTGTTGTTTGCAAGGCTAACAAGTTGCAAGTGGCAAGTGGCAAGTAGCGGACAGCCTGTTGACGTCTTGGCCAGAGCGTCTATGCCCCGCAGCTGCATGTTTATGAAATTCAATTGCAACATTAACGCAAATTGCATTTAATGTTGTCAATAAAGCAAGCCGTACGCTGGCCAAGACACTTTAAGGCCACATTAAATGATTGGCCAACTTTTCCATCGATTCCTATCTTTGCTGTGGCCAAAAGCAACATCAGCAGCAACAAAATGTTCATTTTCATTTCATTTTTCATATTTATTGCAATTGCTTGAAATGAGTCACTTGTTTCAAATTGTTCGCATCGCATTTCGTGCTGAATTTGTAAACAACATAAAATGTTTGAATTTGTTTGTGTTTTATTGTTGTTCTCCATATTGACATGCTTCAATATGCATTCCCCAATTGCATTTTAGTTACGCTTATTAAACATTGAAGAGCACTAAATATTAAAAATACTGAATTGCACACAATCATAAAATAAAGCCATGAAAAAATCGAATTCGAAATCGAAATCGACGCATTTCTGATTGTTTGTCCACAAGTATTTTATTCAAGTGTGGTTTGTATACCCTGTAGATATGGATGTGTAGAGGGAAGCAGTTCATTATGAAACTGTTCAGTTTTTTAAGTTACACAATTCCCTAAAATTTAATAACCTTGAAAATCTAGTGAAATATAGTACTTAAAGGCTTTTTGGATACTCTTTGAATGCTGATATGGAGTGGGTATGCTAAACCTGTTTAAAATGTTTCTTTTGTTGTATGTAATTAAATATATTATACAAAATAAATATATATAAGAGTTAGAATAATAACTACGAAGGCCTACTACTTTTTCTGTTTCTTTTGGTATTTAATTAATTACAGAAAAGAATAATATATCGTACTACAATCTCAGAATGAATGATTATGAATCAAGTGTAAAATGTAATCACAATTCAACACAAAGGTTCAATTGTTTAATATGTTTTCTATTTATTGCTTGAGTTAATTACAGATTAAGCCTTAATCATGTCACTTACATATTTTAATCATCATCTAATATATATACCAATGCTAGAGCTGCCTAACTGGGTATTTCCCAGTTGAACTACTCTGACGAAAATACTTACAATTCTTGCCGCCTCAAGTGTTTATATATATGTGGCATTGGATGTTGAAATATATTTACATACTCATGTCTCTCGAAGTGGACCGCTGATGGGACACGCAATGTCTTCATTCAAGTGGCCCAATGAAAGGTTAATAACACTCCACAAAGAAATGCGCCTTATAATTGGCGCCGTCATTGAGTGCAGCCGACTTTCAATGGCATTTCAATGTGCTACAAATGGCGGTGATTTGCTGCTTTGCTAAAAATGGTCCATTGAAAAATGTGCGCAAAATTTCAATACGCATGGGGAATGAGGAAGGGGGTTGGGAATGAGGATTGGAGATTAGGGATTGGAGTGGAGATAGATAGATACAGCCAATGTCCATTACGTAATTGCATTTGAAGGCAGCGTGCATAAAACCGGCTAGTAAAGCAATTAAATGGCGTGTGTGTGTGAGCGAGGGGCGTGTGTGAGAGAGGGAGGGGATAGGGGAGGGGGCGTGGTCAAACTGAAATCAATAAAAAGTTATGCACGCTGTCCGCTGCTGGCCAAGCGGAAATTACAAAACAAATTGTTGTTGGCATTTTAATTTATGTCTGGCAAATTGGATTTGCCGTTAAAAATAATAATATTGACCGTTTTTTTGGCTTAGCGGGGATTAGCTCGGCGCTTGTTTGGCCAGGCAAACGTGGCTAATTTCCAACAGGATTAACAAATTGAATTGAAAATGAACTTTGCAGCTTATCACCTGACTGACTGGCAGTCGCAGTCGCAGTCGCAAAGTCAAAGCCCTAAAATGTAGGCCACACTTTGTGAAAATAATCATCAATTGAAAAGCCGGTCAAAAGTTCGAGTTTGCTCTTTGACGAGTGAGTTAGTGGTGCGCCTGATGTGGGTGGTGTGAGTGGTGCCAACGGCAATATGCTGCATTCACAGACTGCTTCCTGCAGATAAATAGCTCAAGTGGCAGATAGTAAAATATGTTAAGCTATTGCCGGCGTGAGTGTGCTCGACTTGCATATACCCTGTTAACTTAAACAGTTACCCAGTGGTTATTAACAGAGCTCTTCTCTTGGATAAATATGAAGATAGAAATAGAAGAAGTTATAATCATTTTACACATTTAATTTGATTTCATAAATTTTGTAAAAATATTCGAATAAAGAGTGCCCGTTTAGGAAATACCCTGTACTACCTTTAAAGTAGTTCAACTTACTCTATACTCAGTGCTAAAGTTAAACTTAATCTGTTTCATACCAATTGACTAAGTTTAGTCAACAACTATTTGTCCGCTAATATAGTCTAAAGGGTATAACGAACAGCATATTGAGTGCCAACAACTGTCAGTTGAGAGTGTTGAACGCGGTGCAACAAAGTGGGGCAGCAAGCTGCAATCAAAGGCAGCCAAAGATTGCCAGGAGGGATAATCCATTTTAGAGGTGAATTTACCGCATTTGAAGCTCAATTGGCGGCTACTTAGGCGACTTGCCAAGCTCAGCCTGACACGGCAGCTCCGTGTTTGTGTGTGTGTGTGTGTGAGTGTGTGTGTGTGGGAAAAGATACTCAATTTAGCTGTGGTTTTTTCTTTTTATTGACCTATTTGCAGGATGAAGGCTGGAAGCTGAACCGCACGAACTACTACCAGGAGGGCTGGCTGGCCACGGGCAACATACGCGGCATTGTGGGCGTCACATTCACCACCTCGCATTGCCGCAAGAACATGGACTATCCACTGCGCACCAACTATAATCTGCGAGGACACAGATCGGATGTAAGTGGTGCACTTTGCACATACGATATAACTACGATTAAACTATATCCTTGCCAATTGTAGGTCATACTCGTCAAGTGGAATGAACCCTATCAGAAGCTCGCCTCCTGCGACAGTTCTGGCATCATCTTTGTGTGGATCAAATACGAGGGTCGCTGGTCCATTGAGCTGATCAATGATAGGAACACACCGGTGACGCATTTCTCCTGGTCGCATGATGGTCGCATGGCGCTCATCTGCTATCAGGATGGCTTCGTTCTCGTTGGCTCGGTGGCTGGGCAGCGTTATTGGTCGTCGATGTTGAATCTGGAGTCGACCATTACGTGCGGCATTTGGACGCCCGACGATCAGCAGGTTTACTTTGGCACCACCCAGGGCCAGGTGATTGTCATGGATGTCCATGGTGCGATGGTGTCACAGGTGCAATTATCCAACGATGTTCCCATCACATCCATGGCCTGGTCCTGCGAGAAATTTAAAATGGAGGAGGGCGAGGAAGCGGAGCCCGGTGTAACCAATGCCGGTAAGTGAGAAAGGATTACCCATAAATGAACAAACAAATAAATAATATTGTAGATATATAAAATTAGCAGATTTCTTGAGGGTTAAGAATGGATTATGGATTAATTATAAACAATTATACAAACACATTTCGATTAATTGGTTTAATAGAGCTTTAAGCGTTATTTTAAAGCACAAACTAAATTGGATTAATGATTATTTACTTTCGTCTACAACCTCCAAGAAAATTGAATCGATCAAAGGTCAAATCATAATTATATTTATATTTATAAAGCGCTTCGCTGATGACAAGTTTACTTTTGATTTGACTACAAATTTTAAAATGTCAAGAACTAAAATATTTTTATTTATATAGTTTGAGACATATTTGATACATATACTCAACAACTTTTTATATAAGTTTTGATTTAAAAATAATTGAAATGTGGAACACTTGCAGAATCATACAAAAATGTATATATCAATAAAATGGATAAATTGAATATTTTTAAGCGAATTTGCAACTTATTCTCCTAAGAATTATAAAGTGCGTCATTAAATGATTTTTTTGTTGTTGAGAAAATCCACTTTCTAAATAACTAATCAGTCGGCAACAAGCAAATTTGTTTATTTAGATAAATATGTGTATATTCTGTGAAATCGCAAGCCCTCAAAATCTTTTTGATGTATATAAAGAATATGTATTCATATTTTTAGCACTCATAAATTCATGTTTTTTATCAATGCTATCGTTTCCTGTCTTTGGTTTTCTTTTTTATTTATTTATTTATTATGTAGCCAAGCGCTCGTTTGTGCTGGCGGTTAGCTTCCAGAATGGATATATCTATTTGCTTAAGTCGTTTGACGACGTCTCACCCGCACATATCAACACCTGCCTTAATGGGGCCCTGGGCATGGTCATGGAGTGGAGCAACTCTCGGGAGCTGCTCGCCGTCGCTGGCACATTGCGCACCAGTAATTCGAATGGTGTCGGCCTGGATGGCAAGCTGGATGATCTGGGCACGGCCAGCTGCTATAACAATCTGGTCAAGTTCTATACGGAGTCGGGCACGTGCCTCTACCAGGCGCACATACCCTGCAGCAATGCCACCGTGTCGGCCATCACTTGGGGCCACAACGATAAGCGACTGTTTATTGCCACCGGCACCCAGGTGCACATCGCCTGGATATCAAGGCGGGTGGCATCCTTGCAGTTGCTCTGCCGGCTGCAGATCCAGGCGAGCGTTGGCTCCGAGCTGCTGTTGCCGCTGCTGCCGTTGCCTTCTAGGATTAAGTCGCTCATTGGCAATCTGTTTGCTCAAACCATTCGAGTAAGTATCTATCGCTCCAATAATTTGAAGATCTCCAGCTAATCTCAATTCTTGCCTAGTGCTGTGTACCTGATCTGAAGTCGCTGCGCGATTTTGTGTCGCGTCCACCGCTCTGCTCGACGCGACTGCATTGCACCATGATACGGCACGATGATGATTCCAATCTCAGCTCGGGCACATGCTACACTCTCTACTTGGAGTATCTCGGTGGTCTGGTGCCGCTGCTCAAGGGCAAACGCACCTCGAAGATCCGACCGGAATTTGTCATCTTTGATCCACAAGTTAATGGTGAGTGGATAAACCTACCAATAGAATTTATTCATCTGTCCAAAACAGAAAATTGAATGAATATTGAAATGATTTGAGAAAACTCTGCATATTTTTGACAGCCTTTTAGCTTTATTTGTGAAATCATAAATTATTATGTTTATTTCGCTTATAGGCAAAAAAAAACTTGACTGCAAAATGATTGAAATACATTTTTATTTGTAGAATTTTTTATATCTTTTATGCCATTTTTTATGTGATCGAAATGGTTCTTTTAGCACATTGCATAAATTTAAATTCATTTTTGAAGACCTAAATTGCTCGTATTCAATTTTCAAAAATTTCATATTGAAAAAATTCAAATTCAACATTTGTAAAAAGGCAACAAATGTTTATAGAAGAATATATATAAAACTATGATCTCTAAAGATATTTATGATACATAAATCATACACATACATTCTAAACTAATGTTTACTAACGAAATTCATATTCTCATTTAATGAACTTTGTCATCGAATTAGTTCAATTCAATTGAATTTATGCAGCTCAGCTTGTTATTATCGCAAATTTGTTTCTTTTTAGACAATTCGCTGTATTTCCAATATGCAGCGGAGGCGAAGAGCTCCTCGGGCTCCAGTCAGTCCACGACGACGGGCAACAGCGGACGCACCGATTCCTCCGACAGTGATTTCGAGGAGCGTTCTCGTTTTGGCTCACCACGCACGCCCCGCAAGCGTCGTGTGCGCCCCAAGCGACGTAATCAGAATGGAGATCGTGCGGCGAGTGCCAGTGGGGGCAATGATCCGGATAGCCTGGATGAGCTGGCGTATGTGGATACGCTGCCCGAGGTAAGAGTGAAGAATAAATCCATTTGTTGCCTGCGTTGAATTTGACATCTTCTCCACCCAAGCAGGAAGTCAAGCTGGTGGAGGTGACCTCGAATATATGGGGCACGAAATTCAAGATTCATGGACTTGCCAAAACCGTCCCAGCCAATTTAGGCCAAGTAACTTATAAGACGTCCCTACTGCATTTGCAGCCGCGTCAAATGACGCTGGTCATCACGGAGCTGCGAGACGATTTTCCAACCGGACCCGATCCCAGCTTCAATCCAAATCTCTTCTCCGAGGATGAAGAAGAGCATAACAATTACAATCACAGTCATAATCAACACAATCCGGATGCAGTGCTGCCGCATGTGAGTGTCACCAGTGCTGCGCCCGATGCCGCTCAGTTAGCCGCCATGAAGCCACCAATGATGCCACAACGTCGCCTCAACGAAGGCGCCTCTGCGCCGCCCATTGCGCCCATGTCGCCACGTCCCAATCGCATTCTGGCTCGGCACAAGAACTCGCATTCGCTGAGCGTAAATAGTGGCAGTGCCTCCTCGGTGGGTCTGAGTCCATTGGCACGTGCCGAGAGTTATGACGATGACTCCTCCAACGAATCTCAGGAGGCGGCAGCGGCGACGGCCAGCACCACAGTGCTGCTCCACCAAGCGCCGTCGTCCAGCTCGAATGCCGGACCAAGCTGCAGCAAGAACCTCACACGGCCCAAGACCATAAGTAGCTTTAAGAACAGCTACAGTCGCTCCAGCTCCAATTCCAGCTGCCAGTCACGTCATGCCATTTCGCCGCTCTACTGTGACGGATCCGTGCCAACGTTGCAGTCACCCAAAAATGCTGTTGCCCCCTCGGACATTATATTCGAGCGACCGGCTGTGCCGGCTGCTGGTCAGACCACACTGATGTCGTACTCGAGCAATGCGGACTATGCCAACAATGTGGTGCAGGTGAAGAATGCGTTGATGTCGGAGCCGGTGAGGTCAGCGAATAGTCATGTGAATCCGGTGCCACTTAACCTCAATCTCAATTTGGAGCGCATGGACGCACGGGCTGCCAAGTGTGCGACAACGAAGCGACGCGACATGCTCTACATTGATGAGGAGACGCAGTCGCCGACACCCACCAACAACACCACTAGCACCACCTCAAATATGAAACGCACTCCGACTGTCGTTTCCATTGCGCCCGCTCTGCCCGATTCCATAACGCGCAGCTGCAGCGTTGGGTATCTCGATTCGGTGGCCATAACACCCTCGGATGAGGCACTCTCCGCCCTGCGCAAAGATGCGCCCAACAAACGCTTGATACTGGTGGACAAGCGACGCAATCGCAATCGCAAACGACAGCAACAGACGGATGCGAGACGCCAGAAGCTGCAGCAGACGGGCAAATCAAAGAGTCTGGACTCCTGTGATCTGCTCTCGCTGCAAACGAAATTGTCGAGCAAGGAGCACGAACAGGTGGTGCGCAAGCTGCAGGAGATCTCCGATAGCAGTGCCTGCAGCAGCGCTGCCAACACGCTGTGCTTCAAGTGTCGCAACAACATGAATCCCGCCAGCGTCTGCAAACGTTGTCAGCCAGCTGCAGCTGATAGTTCGGCGCTTGACGAGATTACCACGGTTGCCGCGTCCATTGTCGTTGAGCCCGCCAAGGAGGCGACTCCAGTGACACCAGCTGCCGCTGTGCCAAGCAAACCCACGCCCAAGAAACGTTTCGATGTCATCACTAGCTTTACGGACAGTCCGCTCTTCACGCGCAAACATCGCTTTGGCTATGGACGCAGCAAGGATCTGGCCACAGCTGCAACGGGCAGCAGCACAGAGAACTCCACGCCAATCCTGGCACGCAAGCAGGAGAACACTTTCAGCTTTGTCAAGCAGCTGTCCGAGGTGCGCTGGCGCCGCAAGGAGCCCACTCCAAGCCAGAGCCAACAGCAGGGCGCTAGCAATGCGAGCACTCTGGAACGGCAACATTCCGAAACGGGCAGCGTTGCCTGCGGCACTGTGGAAGCCACACCGGTGGAGGCCAAAGCATCCGTGTCGCTGCACACTCAGGTAAGAGCTGCGATAATAATTCCAGCTGGATGTACACAAATGACTTCTTTCATGTATCATTGTAGGCTCTGACCACGTTGGAGAACATCATCAGTCGTTTGCGTGATTTGGACGAGGGTCGCTTGACACCGCCATCGACGCCGCAGCGTATGCCGCGCAGTTCGCCCGCCTCACCGGCGGCCAGCAAGAAGAACAAGCGGCAGCAGAGCAACTCTCCGATAAGGCACATCTTGAACTCACCGCTGCTGAATCGCCGGCAGCGTAAGAAGCCGAGCATCATTGAAAGCTCCGACGATGAGGGCAATCAGACGAATGGCTCCGGCGAGGAAATGGGCGGCGCCAGCAATGGCAACGGCAAACAGTATCGCGATCTGGAGACATTCCAAAAGGCACAGTTGCGCCAGAAGGTGAGCTGGCCCTCAATATTTCAAATAGTCAACTTGTCTAACTTGTGTCTCCAACTTTGTGCAGCTTAAACGTGGCAAGATCGAGCCAAATGGCAGCGCCAGTTGCGCCATTTCGGCGCCAGTGCGTCGCGAGTTTGTCATGCACAACAAGGCGCCCATGTGGAACGAGATGAGTCAAGTGTATCAGCTGGACTTTGGCGGACGCGTCACCCAGGAGTCTGCCAAGAATTTTCAAATTGAATTCCGCGGCAAGCAGGTAACTAAAAATTGCTATGTGTAAATTTAGATATAAGTTTGTACAACCAAGTTGTGTCAGGATATCAAAAATCTAACGTTTATATTATGGTTTTAAATCCATTTTTGAAAATATATAAACTATGAATTTGAAGTCTTGCGGATTTGAATTTGAATTCTGCACAATTGTATCTACTTTATAGAAGGTGTATGAGCTTAAACTAATATTCTCCATCTATTGCAGGTGATGCAATTTGGTCGCATTGATGGCAATGCGTATACCCTGGATTTCCAGTATCCCTTCTCGGCGCTACAGGCATTTGCCGTGGCGCTGGCCAATGTTACACAGCGTCTCAAGTAATTTGGGTATTATGGATATATGGTTATTGCTGTACTATCGTATCGTATTACACATATATTTGTACATGTATGCAAGTACTCTTATATAGCGCATATGCACCACTCGCCGCCAAGCTAATGCCGCAACAGCAACTGCTTCAATATTAATATTTTTTATACGGAAGAAGGTGGAGGCGCCTTTCGCTTTTTCATTTGTAAATATGTATGTACTTATTGTATTGTATTGTGGTCTTTAGGTTTCTGAATACCGTAACATGTATATCGATAATCCGATATGAACTCATACCACCACTTGATTGAAGGTTTAGCAATTTGATATTGGTGTGCAAAAACTCACAGTCCGATCCATTTTTTGTGCAATATTTGTATGACAAACTTTTATGGATTAAGTAAAACGATTGTAAATGTTAAGCATTAAAATGATGTACGCGTAAACGTATTTATATATATATACATATATATGTATGTGGCGTATGTGTCACGATTTTTTCAATCGATTTTTAAACTAGTTTGTACAAGAGCAGCCTTTTTTGCATTGAGCTTCGTTTGTTTTTTCTCGACTTACGTGCAATAAACGACAATTCCTTTCGTTATCAATTTTTAGCAGTTAAGGAACTAAATAATGACAAAACATATATATCTATATACATATATGTATGTACTTATTATCAGCATAAATCGCTTAACACAAAAACCAAAAGGAAAAAAAAACAAATTGAGCAAATCGCTTAGCCTAACATTTAAAACATTTGAATGTGTGTATACAAGTACTTAATACTAGCATATTTTTTATATTATAAACTAATTGCGAATGTTAAAAAACACATACATTCACAAAACAAACACACACACAACATACTTTTGTGCTTTTCCTCTTACTCTCTTTTTTGTAGCTAGGCTTAATTTCAAAGGAAAACTTCGTTATTGTAATTGTTGTGAATATTGAAATAAACTCGAAACTCAAATCGTAAACGATTTCAGCATGCAACTAATTAAATAAATATGTTGTATGTGAATAAAGAACAAACAACGTCAACAAAAAAAAAGAAACAAAACAAAAATAAATAAATCAAAAAATACATTCTTATTTACATATTTTACATGGTATCGCACTTAATTGAGATTTGTCTTATCCTTATTTTGTTGCTCTATTTCGATTTCAGCTTTTTCCCAGTCGGGTATCGATTTCTCCTTGATGTGCCAGGCATCAGTTTTCGGGCCTTTTATTTCAGCTGCTTAAATAGAGTTTGTGATTATTAAAGATAAAGCAATTTATAAAGCAGTCATCGCTCGAAAATTTCCACTCTTAGGTTTTTGGTGATACAAAAATTGTATGATTATGACAATAAATTAGAATTAAAATTCTTATTTTAATTTATTGAAGTTCTTATTTTCGAGTGATCGCTGTAATCTCTGCTTACATGTCTTGAAGCGTTTAACGCCCTCCTGCATATCGGCCAGCAAGGCCGCAGAAACACTCATTATCTCGTTGTTTACGGCTCTATAAAATCCAGGGCGGGCATAGACATTGGCATTATCCAGGAGCGCATTGCGATCGTGTTGCAGTGAGGAAATTGGAAACTTGGCAATGGAAAAAGCCAAGTTAACAGCTTGACCCAGTGCAGTCCCTGTAGCCACAATCCGATTAACAAGTCCAATGCGCAGCGCTTCTCTTGCATATACACGCCGGCCCGTCTCAATGATGTCAACGGCATTCGAGTAACCAACCGCTGCAGCCAAGCGAACAGTGCCGCCATCGCTCATGGGAACACCGAGGCGTCGATTGAAGAAGCCCAGCACTGCCGTATCCTCCATGACGCGTAGATCGCAGAGTAGCGCCAATTCCAAGCCACTGGCCACACAGAAACCACTGATGCCGCACACAATTGGCTTGCGTAGGTGTCTTCTGGTTGGGCCCACTGAACCCTCATGACGCAGCAGAAAGTTGAGACTGCCCTGTTGGGCCTCCGCTTCCAGCTCTTTCAGATCGTAGCCAGCTGAAAAAGAGCCACCCACGCCATATAGAACACCCACGGGTGAGGAATCATCCGACTCGAACTGATTGATGGCCTCGCCAAGTTTCTCAGCTGTGGCCGCATCAATTGAATTGCGCTGCTGCTCCCTGTTGATGCCGATTAACGTGACGTTTGCATCTTTCTCAACCAGTATGGTTGGCTCCACATTTTGGCCCGTTTCACTGTATTTTGTTGCACTCAAGCATAATTTTCGGTTGCTCTGAATCACTGTATTAAATCTACTTAAACTGTTGATAGTAAACAATTTATTCATTTCAGCTCAGCAGCATTACAACTTGTGAGTGTTGTGCAACGTTCAAATCGCTCATTTCGTTGGCGCGCTATACAACACTGCTTGTCAGTGACGCGCTGTCAAAAGAAGGCGTGTGTATGTGTGCGCGAGTGTGTGCTGTGTGAAACAAAAAAAAGCAGATCAAACGAAAATACAAAAGTAGAAGGAAACGCAGCGCTGCCAATTAAACATATATTTATTTAGTAACATCAAAATAAAACACTACAAAAGATAGTTGAATTGGTGATCTACGCGTGTGTGTGTGCAAGCGCATTGCATTTGTGTGTGTGTGTGTGTGTATGTGTGTTCGGTACACACAAATACAAAGATCCAGTGATATAAGCAAAGTACAAAATAAGAAGAAAGAAAAGGAAAGCAGCTCGATTAACATTCACGACTTGAAAATCATCCGCTGGCACCGCGAGACAAAGGATTGTTAAGAAAACGGTAATAACCTGGTTGCTTACATTCAATAAACACATAAATGCTGCACAACTGCTGCAAATGTGCGGCAGCTGCGGGCTGTGCTGCGGTTTTGCGGCACCCGCTGAGAGCCCAGCACTGCACAGCACAAAACAACAACAGAGCGAAAGTGACGAATGTGTGTGCGTGTGTGTGTGTGTGTGTGTGTCCAGCCAGCAATAACAATAGAAAAGAGAGCGAGACTGTCGCCCAGCCCTGCCTGCCCCGCCCCGCTCTGCTCTTGCACACATTGCATGTGGCCAGATGCAATGACTTTTATTTCACTTGAACCGTAATTGAATTGGCATATAAATTACGGTTAAAGCCCGCCTGCATTATTACAACTTAATTGCATCTATTTTTAACAATGCGCATTTGTCCAACATTTGGGCGCATTTGTCTGTTGGCTGCCGCCTAACCCTATCTCCACCTCTCCCTCAGCCTCTACGCCTTTCCATCGTTCGTTTGTTTAGGCGCACTCAGTCTCCGTCTCCGTCTGTTTAACGTGCTTCATTGGCGCCCCGAGGGGCTCTCTTTTCGCCGCCGTCGCCGCCGCCTATATTGCCATTTTGCGTGGCGTACGTGAGCGAGCGAGAGCAAGAGGGAGGGAGAGAGAGAGAGTGAAAAGGAGAGCGAGATTGAGTCCTACAATTATGTGACGAAAGATGTCACAAAGAAATGGAGACATCATTTCCTCATTCTCAACTAGCTGGGGAGGGGCTACCATAAATATTTTCATTTATGATATCATGTCAATTGCGATTGCTGCTTTCTATGAAAATCTTAAACGAGAACAATCCACATTCTGTAGATCAGACAGACAGCTACACACGCAATTTTCCTATTAAGAAATGTTTATAAATGAAATACTTAATTTATGTGCATCATAAGAGAAAGGGTATTTAGACAATGGCATGTCAAACTTTAAGTTTACCATAACCGTGATCTGTCGAAAATAAAAAATTGCAGAAATTAAATCGGTCTCTTTTGAAAGAAGTTCGACTGTTGTATTATGTATAGTATTATTATTATAGTATTATTTATACGATGAGAAAGGGTATTGTCATGCCGTCTACATATCTGCTCCAATTATTATTTACTATGTGTTCCGCAGTCTCTGCCGTCTCATGATCTATTTTTGTAGATATTATTTGCAAAAAACGTAAAATACAACAAAAAATTCCCGTAGCGAACATAAAACTTTCGTTTTATTATGCTTGCGGTTGGGACACACCTTTTGATGGCACTGCCAGTCCCCAGTCTTTGATCGTCTATATATATATATATATACTACTTAAGTTTATATATATACATTTATTCGCCACGGCACTAAAAGTAATTAAATTGTGAGTGTGTACGTCTGTGTGTGAGTGGAGATATATATTTTATTGTGTCGCCAGATAAGATGGTGCAGAGTTGAGCTATGGAGAGTTTATTGCCTCAAGTACAGCTTAATTAATTGAATTAAATGCGCACGCATTCATTCACAAAAGATACAACATTTTCAGTGAAGAAAAGTACACACACACATTCATATTTTCATATTCACATTCACATTCACATTTCGCTCATTCAGCAAATACAGTCACGACTCGACGATGTCAACCGGAAGGCCCATAAAATGTGTCGTCGTTGGTGACGGTACCGTCGGAAAGACATGCATGCTAATCTCCTACACAACAGACAGTTTTCCCGGTGAATATGTGCCTACAGTGTAAGTGTATTTTCCGCTTTCAAAAACCAATAGAGTTGCTTTGATCTTTAATTCGTATTTCGATTTCACAGTTTCGATAATTATTCGGCGCCCATGCAAGTGGACACAATACAAGTGTCGCTGGGGTTGTGGGATACGGCCGGACAGGAGGATTATGATCGCTTGAGGCCGCTCTCCTACCCACAGACAGATGTCTTCCTGATATGCTACAGCGTTGCGAGTCCCTCGTCATTCGAAAATGTCACCTCCAAATGGTATCCGGAGATCAAACATCATTGCCCCGACGCGCCCATAATACTAGTTGGTAAGTGCCACAGCTCAAAGTATCGCTATCGGTTCTCGAATCTCAACTGTGTTGTGTTTTTTTGTTTTTGTAGGCACCAAAATCGATTTGCGTGACGATCGAGAGACATTGAGCGGCCTGGCCGAACAGGGCTTGACGCCGCTTAAGCGCGAGCAAGGTCAGAAGCTGGCGAACAAAATACGCGCTGTGAAATACATGGAGTGCTCCGCCTTGACGCAGCGCGGCCTTAAGCAAGTAAGTGGTGGCATCGATGACACACCCACCATAAACAAAACGAAAACTGACGATCCGATTCTTGTTTGTGTTTCGATTAGGTGTTCGAGGAAGCGGTCCGAGCGGTGCTGAGGCCGGAGCCATTAAAGCGACGCCAGCGAAAGTGTTTAGTTATGTAAATAAGCTGCGTCAACCGGCAACAGAGAATATTACTCAGAAGCAGTAGTAAAGAAAACAGAAACAAAGAGAGAGACACACAAACACACACAACATACAAACAAACCAACAAACATATAAACCAATGGAGCGCCCTCATCTCTACCTAAGCGTGAACAAATCAACAACGTGGAAAACATGGATTCATTGAGCATTATCATTTATTTTTATTGTCTTAGTTTAAATAGGATTTGCATAATTCATAATTTGAGAAACCGCATGGCACAAAACTATGACTCCCTCCCATTAGAACTAAAAAGTAATTAACAAAAAGCAGCAACCGGAGATAATCCATAATTCGAAAGCAGCTAAACATATTGAAATCTAGTCAATTGAATCGAATGTATTGCACTAATTTTAATCAACAACAGACAGCCGCAACAAATTATTAAAGAAAACGCTGGCAAAAAATATAAACAAAATGGAAAACGAATCGGAACAGTTGGTTTCGCATATCAGTGCTAAAGTAAATCAATATTTAAGCAATTCCTAATATTTTTTATTAAATGTATTATAATTATGTAGCCAAGGCGTTTCCTAATTTCAACAATAACCAAAAACACTGGACGATGAGCTCTTAGAGAAAAACAAAAACCTAATTAATGCAAAGAACACATTTATACGAAACTTTAGCATAACCTTTTTTTCAAACTATTTGTAATAATCGCAATTAATTAACTGACGCTCGTTTGAAATTGTCTTTTCAAATTGTAACAACTGTTGTTTATTATTTTTATATTAACTTATTTATTGTCCTAACTTTAATAATGCAAATGTATAAACAACTTTTACGGCTTAAGTATAGCGAAAAGTGTATATGGAAATGGAAAAGGATATGGAAATGGCAAACTGCATTTAAATGTGACTTGACTCGAATCAAAAAAAAAAAAAAAAAAAAAAATTACAACTAAACATAAACAAACCACAAAAAATGCACACAATTTTGTAAACACTTCGAATAGCAAACCCAACAAAAAACAAAACAATTTTTTATATCGATTATATAAAGTGGAACAAATCTAACGAAAACTCTCATGTAAATGTCAAATGTAAACGAATATGGGCTCGCGATCCTTGATCCTTTCGGGATTGAGCAGCAGCAGCCGAAACAGATTACTTATGAAAAATCAAGAAATATATATACATACATGCTGTAATTAATAAAATCAAAAAAACTGTTCGATTTGTGTGCTCAACATTGCTAGTTATCAAATTTTTTTTTATTTATTTAAATGCCACGTTTTGTCATTTTTTTTTTTTTTTTTGTCATCAACAATTAACAATTTCGGTTTTAGGTTTCAAGTGCCTCGTGCCTCGATTTCAACTCGTTAACAATTCCGTATATATATTTATATATATATATATGCAGTATAGGAGATCTTTTCGGTGCATCGATCGTGCAGCGTGGTGTTGCGACTAGTGGGAACGAAAGGACATCAGCCTGTCTCTCTCTCTTTCTCTCACTCAATACAAACGGAAGGGCTTCGGATGCATCGCTTGGCCAGGCTTCTTTTTGGCACCGGCACTCTTCGGACGCTTCGGCTCGGAGTTCAATGATGGCATCGATACGGATAGAACCAAACATTCCGCTGGCAAGGACATCGATGAGGTCAATGTTGTGGCACGTTGTATGCGCGGCGCTTTCCAATACTGTAGAGGGGCAAGCAAACAGAAGATTATTATAGTAGCAATATTAAAGAAACCTAATGCATATCTGTATCTGATTATGAAAGTTCAATTGAGTAATTGGAAATTTAAAGATTAAACTGACTTACAATTTGCGTTTAGCTAGATCAAATTTTTGTTCACAGATTTTTTGTTTTACCAATGTGGTTCCAAATGTGGTTGATATTTTGTGCGCTTGTGTGGCTTTTGCGACGTGGGCGTGGCATTTGCTTGCTACCAATATAGTTACTCTTAAATGCATCCAAATTAGCTGTCTGAGTTGAGAGAGGAACTAAGTGCAACAAACGCCAAGTTTTTTTGGTAAATGAAAAAAGATTTGTTTTATTACGCTTGAAAAAATTGCATTTGGTTTCTTACATTTTGTAACAGGAGGGTGTAAATAAATTGTGAGAATGATGCATTTTACCTAATATTATTATGGATACTCGTACAAATTATAAAATATATATATATTTTTTATATAATAATATATAGTATGCTCAATCGGTTCATTTCTAGTTTTCGATATTTTTTGTGGCAAAAAAGTAAAAGTATCTAAATTTGTGGATGAATTTCAAATCGTATCCGATAAATGTTAAGTTTATAGATTGAATTTACGAATTGTTCAACACATTTAACTACACGTAAAGCACACAGATAATACATATATATGCAATCATCTAACGGAATATGCTTTGTATAATTTTCTTAATTCATTAGATACTTTTTTTTTTTGTATTTTGTTCATTTTTGTTTTTTAAATATGTATTTGTAGTATATGAAATTTGCATATTGTATGTATATATATATATATATATATTTATATAGTTATGCATTTGCCTTGGTATCTGATTGATAAATAGTGCATATATCAACTAATCATATACTTTTTTGTTGTTCATTTATTATATGCTGCATCGGAGTGTGTATCTGTGTGTGTGTGAGTTCTGTGTGTGTGTGTGTGTGTGCTTGCACAATTCAATTATCAAATTTGTGAGTAAAATACTCGTATTGTGTATGGTAATTATTGCATTTGATTTTTTTTTTGTTTTTTGGTTTTTTTCATTTTGTGTAACTTTTTGCTTAAAATTACATTTCAAATAAGCTTTGTTTTCAAATTGTTGTTGTTGTTGTTTCTGCAATTTGCGTCAAGAAAAATAAAAGGAAAACTTCAGCTCAACATGCAACTTTGGACTGGATTTAACTTTGTTGATTTAAATTTTCATCAGCGCCGCTTGTTGAAGCCGTCATGGATGGTTGTGGACTCTGCGTTCAAAATACAAATATAATTGCATTTAATTATGGCAAAATTAAAAAATCAACAAGAAATTATACAATATATTAAACAAAACAAAAAAAAAGGGCATAAAACTGAAGGGATGCGAATCGAGCACAGCAAGCAATTTTTCATATGAAACCAGGACTCTATATGGGTTGATCAAATCAGATTTCATATGGATTTTTTCGTTTATTTTCTTCTTTTTTTTTGTGGTACGGTACGGTTCGGTTTTTGGTACGGTTAGACTATCACAGCACTGTTAAATGAGAAACGCAACGCACACAGTTTTCAACTCGCACGCAAAACTTACGGGACATCATTGTGAGAGAGTAGTACTATTTCGAAAGTATAGCATAAAATCGCATCGTTTAATTATATAGTACATATATATATATATAGTCGAAGTCGAGGCAATAATGGACGTAACATTTTAGTGTGTCTTGTAGTAAGTACGAGTATACAGTATTTCAAATTTAATGCACTTAGTTAAACGATTTTCATTTTCGTATGACTATGACTAATAAAATGTATACACATATTCCTATAATAAATTCAAATGAAACAAAAAAAAAAGAGATAAATAATTGAAAAATACACAAAATGATTACAAAATTAATTATGATTATTCTTACATATGTGGATGAGTTCAAGCCAAACCCAAAAATTCGTATTGTAGGTTCGTGTGTGTTATATGTATGAGAGAGCAAAGCATTTTGCACATTCTAAATATATGGTTTAAATGCTTGGCAGACTTTCACAATCATCGTTAATACATTTATATATATATATATATAGATTGAGCATTTGTGTTGCTAGTTTCCACATCAATATTAATAAAAATTTGTACTATTCTACATAGTATAAAAGTTTTGACAAATTTGCCATAAATAATACTCAATTGGCATTTGCTGTTGCTTATTTTAAGAACCATTGCCTAAATAGTTAACGAATTTAACAAAAGTTTGGCTAACATCTTGAGAGTGAATTTACCAAACTCCTCACAAATTCATACACTTTCCAATAGCCAGCACAAATGGTGATTTTTTATTGGAAGGGGTATCAAATAATTTCAGCTAGCCGAAATTAACAATATTTGTTGTAGTGTATTATTTTGTATGTGGTCTGTATACATAATTTAAAATAGAAACTCTTGCAAACTCATTCGAGATTTTTCATTTGTCTTCGGGTATAAATGTTAATATACTTGTGTCAGTTTCAGTTTTGGATCTGATCTTTAAAATTCTAGGTACAGTTAAGTAGATATTTTTGTTTGTTTTTGTAATTGGTTAAATTTTGAGTAAGTTTTTTTTATCGGGTTTTCGGGTTTTCACTTAAAAAGCGAGTCAAATATATCGTTACACACACAGTCAGAGTTACAAAGACCGAATTCTAGGTGTATGGTGGCAACCAAGCGACCCTGCGCCGCAAACTACAAATTCCAGATGGATCGAGAGTTAAGAGAGCGAGAGTGGGCGAGAAAGAGAGAAAGAAAGAGAAGTGAATGTGTGTAAAATGGTTAACACACCGAGTGTGTTCTGGTATTCGAGAGTATTTTTTTTTTTATAATTTGTAAGTATGAATATGAAGCACGCTTATTTTTGTTGTTGGAATTTTTAGATTCGATATTCGATTTTATAGCCAATCTATCTCAGTTTGAGTTTGAAAGAAATTCATTTTTAAATGTAACATAAAATGTTGTAAGTACTCAAATTAATCAAAGTCAAATCAGAAAATAAAGTGAATACTAAGAGAAAAACAAATACCCGCTATAATATATGTATAAAACTTGGTAGTGCCGTAAAATACGTTGACTCAAGTATTTTAATATTACGATTTCGATGTTATTTTCGTTGTCTTTTGTCGGGCATTATGAATTGCTATTTGGGTTAATTTATTTGAAAGTGAAAACCAGTTAGTTCGAGCTGTTTTTTTTTCTTTTTTTCTTGGGTTATTGGGTGGTTTGCAAGCCATTATGGGTGCTGTTTTTTTGTTTTTGGTGCGGTGCTCTTCGGATATTGATATGTATGCCATATAAAATACACGTTAATAATGAAATGAAATCAACAATTATAATTACAATAAAAAAATGAATTTCTTGAAGTAAACACAAAATGGGATATATTATTTGTCGAATGATTTATGATATATGTATGATTAAATGGCATGTTCCTTTCGTATACTTGTAAATGAAATCAAATTTAATAAATTAGGCTTAAATGGAAATCTACTGTTGTTATTTTATTTTGGTTTTATTTTGAGCAATTCTACTTTTCGCTTAGGTAGACGTAGTTTACCTGTGTTGGTGGTGTTGTCAGTGCAACAGAGTGATCAACATTTTTCAAATAATCCTTATCATCGAAAATCTTCTTTTCACCGCCACCGGGCTTGTGCTTTACATTATCCAAAGAGCCAACTTTGCTTTGTGCCTTAATTTCTATTTTTTGCGATTGTATCTGAAAAGTAGCAGCACCGGCAACGCACAGAAAATTAATTAGCAACTTTTCGATTGATTTTTTTATTTTTTTGTATAAGGAATTTTGTATTTGGGCTGGTGGATTATGAACACACGATAATACGATCAATCATAAGTCCAATCCTTGATATAACTGCAATTTAGAATTTTTTTATACTGCGCACACAACACATACAACTAAAATGAAAAACATTGATGCCACATATTTACAACACAAACATTCTACATACATATTAGGTGCTTATTTAAATATTTCAACTTTCTAAAAAGTGAGGTTATGTGCTCAAAAATACCAGAAAACTGAATACAATGTTTTTTACTCATAGAAAAGCACATCAACAATACAATATAAATGTACAGAGAATTAATGAAAACTACTTACATCCTTTGTGTTGTTATCCTTTATTATTTTTTTTTTTTGGTAAATCATTTGTTAAGAACATTTATTTGATGATTAAAACAAAATACACAATCCATAAATTTGTTTAGTTTCAGTAAAAAATTAAATTCAAAATCAAAATTATAAAATATTGAGAACAAGTTTAAACAGTTGCCAGATAATAGTTTTGATTAATATTTGGAAACGGTTTCTGAACTTCGACAAGCCGAAGTCAGGAACTCTCCAAATACATAATAGAGCTATTTGGTATGAATACTAGCTAACCCAAAACAATTTTAGGTACAATGAGGTCCTGTCAATAAGATGATTGATTTTTATTAACACCATTTTTTAATATTGCAGCGATTTTAGTCTTTTTTAGCGTTACCTATCCAACGTACCTCTAACCCAACTAATCGTCTTGGTTATACAAATTCTCATCCAGTCGCCTGTTATATGATATCATATTCATCATGTGGTGACTGACTATTTTCGAGCCCTCGCCATAGACTATGTTGTTAGGGAATCTATTTGAGTACCTCTGTAAATTTGTCAATTATTGTTTTGTTTTTTTTTGTTTTTTGTATACAGTTCATTTTTGTTATGGAATGTAGATGGTATTAGTTGTCTGATGTGATGTGAGAGATTATCGAACATGGGCATAGCCAGCAGAAAACAGAGCATTTATCTCACCTTTTTTTCTGGTTGGTTTGATGGTTTGGAAATCTATTTACAGGTGATTTGGTTCACGGAAAGGAGTTCGGATTCAAAGCCGGCTTGCAGCCTTGTTTGTAAGGTTCTTTTGAGTTATCTACGTTTTGACTTGCCTGGGCCCCTTTTAGCTAGGATTCTGGCTACGCCCATGGTACATCGAACACCTTAAAGCTACAAGTTGAGAGCATGCCATATGAGAAGAACTAAATGAACATTGCAGCAGTCATGCAGTTAGAGTCGGAACTGGAGCGACACATGCCCATGCCAAAGTTAAGATCAAAGTGGAAACTTATACTATTTGTTGTAGAGCAACCACATGCGTTGCCACAAAATTAGTGTAACACTATTAAACAAAAAAAAAACCTTAAAAAAATGCTTAACTTTTGATTTTAGACTCCGAAATGAAATATACACTAAGAAAAATCGCTCTAAAATTACCGAACATTTTTTGGGGCTCTAGGAATCATTTCTAAAGTTAAGAAATACATGTTTGTAATTCTCAACAAGTAGAGAACTGGCTATAGGATATCTCCTAGTCGATTACTCTTGCTTAGAACACTCTTGCTGCTTAGCAAATGTATCTCTAAATTTAGAAATGATAGCAACAATTTTATTTTAAATTCACTCTTTGACAATGTAAGTCGAGTTCAAATTAATGCGACTTTCGAAATTGTAGAGCATATCTTTCTCTGAGTGTACCATAGAAGTAGCAATTATAGTTAAAGTAAAAGTATTCAATGGCACTCGTATATGTTGTATGTATGTCTCTGGGTCAAACTCAAAAAATAATAAAAAAGGCATTTGGTAAATAGAAAATATATTTGTTGAAATGTGGATTTACCTTGATGTCACCGCCACCGGGCTGATACTTCACATTGTCCTTGGAGCCGACCTTCGGCTTGGCCTTGTTATTGAAGTCCATTTTGAGGGTCTCGATCTTTTTATCGCCACCGCCGGGCTTGTGTGCCGCATTCTGGAGCGAGCCAATTTTCGATTTCGCATTCCACTGCAACTTTGTTGTAACTATCTACAAATTGGTTGGTTTTTTTTTTTTTTTTTTTGCAAATGGTGATTTGTAGTGGTGTTCGTGGTGGATTTTAATTGCAAATAGATACAAGTTACGGTAAAACGATTAAAAGTCAAGACAATTGCAACAGTTGCTATTTCAATGTCAGACGACGCGCCCATCTATAGATCTACTTATAGATATCGTATGTATATATGTATGTATGCTACATAAGGCCATCAAATTATGCTGCTAAGTGTGTAATTGCATTTTTCCTACTACAGATGCTAGATACCAGAGATTGCAGTAAGAAAACTAAATACATACATACTTATTTATGACTATGTATATCTTGAATCGCAAGTCGACCGTGAAATTGAATTTCTAACGAATACTTTTTTTTTGTACGTTTTTGTTTATTCATTTGTTTATACAAGTAAGTCTCTCAATCAAAAAACAAGAAGAACCAAAAAGATTGAAAGAAATGTCTGTTGAAAGATGAATAGATCATAAACAAAGATATACACATTGTTTGTGGGTGCACTTTGAGAAAATGTGTAGAATTTTGTAACGATACTTATAATTAAGTCCAGACAATACTAAAAACCAGAATGAAATTCTATTAATTCTACAATTTCTGTGTGTAGAACACTTTTCAACTGATTTCAAATCAGTTGGTTTCTCCAAATATTTCAAAATGTTTCCTAAATCAAGAAATTGTTATCTGATTTCTGATTGATTTCATCCAAAAAGATAAATTCTTCAATTAAGAACTTGAACGTTTTATTTTTAAAGTAGAAAGATGAATACTTAAATGAGTTGTACTCAGCAATGAACAAAACGAAACGATTGGAACCAGGTTGTTATTGAATTTCGAATAACGTTCTTCTCAGAGTGTATAGATATATATATATATATCAATATCTGTAGAGATACCCCAAGTCTTAGTCAACATAAAACTTACCTTTTTCTCGCCGCCCTTCGGCATATACTTGTCATTCTTGGCCTCGATGCGTGGCCCTGCACCCTTAATTTCAATCTTCTTGGACTCGATCTTGACATGACCGCCACCTGGCTTATAGGTGGCATTATCCAGCGAGCCAATTTTGGAGCGTACCGCCTTCAAATTTGGCGAAGGGGCGTGTCCAACCTGTACCTTGTTCATTGGAACTGAGAGGAAAAGAAGGGTTTATTTTCAATTCTTATCTTCCGGTTTTTTCTTGGTGTATTTACGTTTCTTGGCCGGCTCGGGTTCGGGTGTCTTGAGCAGCAAGCGATTCTTGGATGCGCTGCGCGACTTGGATGTTGATTTATTTGAGGGCGTGGCACTCGGTGGGCGCGATGTGCCCGACTTGTCTTGCTTCGATGAGCTCGATGTGGGCGTCTTTACCGGCGAGCTCGGCGAATGCGGTCCGTTGCGATCCTTAAATTCAAACATAAATATGAGTTCCACATTAAATTCTAGCGTAGAATGGCCTCATTTACAATGAGATAGCTCGCATCTGCTATTACAACCAAATGCATGTTTTGTCTTTGATTTAATTGACCACTTTACGACCGACAATAAATAGGAATATTATTCCGCTGCCTGTCAACGTTATGCCATTTATGACTCTGGCTCTACACAGAGAGGACCTTCTGTCTATCTAACTGAATATCCTGCCTGGTGCCAGGTGCGTCGTCTTTACGGCTTTCGTTGTCTTTGTCGTTGTCGATGTCGTTGTCGTTCTCGACACGAAGCCTTCACATAGTTTATGCATTGTTTTATCGATTGTCGCGGCCTCCGAAACTTCGTGTCGCTTTTTGGATATTTATTTACCTATATATTTATAGAGTCCACAGCCCCCCCGAAAAAAAGAGGAAAAACTTAGCTTAACTCCAAGCTAAACTATTCCGTGTTTGGCTCTGGCGGCACTTATCTAAAAGGAGGCCGCCTTGCCAAATAAATCGCATTACATTCGGCAATTTGTCAGTACAGTCGTACTTAGCTACAATGAACTCGTAGCCGATATAATTGAAAACAAAATAATGCAAATCATCCCAAATTTACATGCTACTTTGTGTAGACTCATGCCCAAAATCAAACAACTAATCATTTTCTTGTGGACTTGTTTTGACGGGGGCGGAGTTGAGAGCACTTTGACATTAATTGAACTTGTATCTTGGAAATGTGTGTGGAAATAGAATAATGGAAATAAAAACTGAGTTCTCATTTTAACCAAACTTGACCAAATTTGTAAGTAAATAAAAAAAATTTGACTGACCAAAATTCGAATTTGCGGTATTTTTTATTATTAGATAACAGAATTCCCTGAAATATTGTCAAGCATATTATTTGAATTGTTTCAATCTCAGACGAGAACTCATTTTTTGAAAAGACAAATAGATCTTTTATATTAATAATAATATTAAAAAGTGACCGATTGTTTCCCCACTTCAAGAAAGTAAGTTTCGTCAGGATATGTAAGAAATTAATAACATTTTTCATAAAGGAACTCATATATCAACCGATGGTTCCTATGGCAGCTTTATTTGGTAAACCGGTTAAATGTTAATCAATTTTTGAATAACAATTGGGATTAGAGTAAGGCATGTCACTTGTAATTTTGGTAAATATAACTTGCCAAACAAGACCTCAATACTCAAGTGCTCATTTATTTGAGAGTTTAATGATATATGCTCCGATTTGGTCTTTCTATTTTTATCTATCAGATTAAATGAAAAGCGATAGAAACTGCAAAACATCTGCGGGTTTATACCTAAACTTATAAGCTGCATTCTTAACTGATGATGAACAAAAGATGTTGCTTCGAAAATGGTCGTTTTTAATTTATAAATTTTTATAAACGAGCTGTTCGTTATAGGAACGTTTGACTGTGTTTTGGGATTGTTTCGATTTCGGCACTGCGCACCTGTAAACTTCTGGACCTAGACACACAGCGATAACACACGCACACACATATGTATAAATTTGTATGTATTTGTACTATATATATATATATATAGAGTAGTGAATTGAGGTATCTTTTGGTTTATTCCGATGCGGCAACTGACTTCTGCAAAGCGACAACTTGGTCTGAACTTTTAACGTCTGCACACGAGCTGCAAGCAATGAGTTATAAATCTATATGAGCTATGTGAACTCGTCGAGCTCTGGAGCAACAACTGAGCTGTCCACATAAGTTGTCTAATGGAGCGTGGAGAGCTCGATGTGAAGGCGGGCAAACTAACTAACCGACTGCCATTTACAGATATTTATGATTTGTGAACACACAGAAGAAACATAACGAAATGTGGAGACACACACAGTTGGCGGTCAACGGAATTAAATTAATTTGCTGCCAGTTAATTTCCTCTCAATTAAGGGCAGCGAACCAAAAATTGAACACAACACAACACAACCCAACCAGTTAGTGGTTGTGTCAGTTGGAGTTGGAAACTCACCTTCTCCTGAGTGGACTCATCCACGCCGCTGTCATTGTCACCTTCTGCAACAACAAACAAACAAATATAATTCATTAATTATGTTGTCTAAAATCAAACTTGCTTACAACATTTTTATCAGAATTGAATTGGCTTCATTAATCAACACAATAAAAAGAGACTTTATTCGGCACACCGACTACCGATCTACCCTTGCATATTGCAGTCATTAATAAATTTGATTATAAACGAAGTTAAATGAAATACAATCTAAGAATCATTTTAGAACTTGACCAGCGAGTTTGATCTGAATTATATTGGAAATCAAAAAAGTTGATCATACAAGAACTCATCCTATATGATATACTTCAGGTGTTAATAATGTTTTCGATAATGGTTAGGATTAAAATAAAGCTTGTCACTTGTGATATTTTTGTAAAGTTGTTTTAGACGGTTATTCGTATAGTTATATATATTCTCTGATCTTCACTATTGGATAAGCCTACCTCTATGTTAACTTATAAGTTCAACTCTGTCTGTTTCAAATCGTTCTGCACTTCACAAGAAAATTATAATACCCTCTTTGGCTGGTTAGAAACCAATAACAAGTCTTACTGTGACCACTCAGCATTTTGAGTGGTGCATCCATTGGCGATGTGTTGGTGGTCTCAAATGGTGGCTCCGTTTCCTCGAGCAGTGGCGAACCCATCGGATCTCCCTTCAAGCCGAACGTCTTCAGGGGAGTGAGGGCCTGACCTATGATGACATCATCATCATCTTCATTGTGCACACTGCTAGCTGATGGTGGGCGTAGCTGTTGTTGTTGTTGTTGGTGCGGTTGTTGTTGTTGTTGTTGCTGTTGTGGATGTTGTTGCATTTGCTGCGGATTGTAGGGTGGACGATAGGGCGCCTGCAGCGGTTGTCCAGGCATCGGACGAGCAAATGTCGGCGGCGGCGGTCGCGTCATATTCTGGGGCGGACGAGCACCTGGCGGCAAGCCGGGTGCTCCAGGTGCTCCCGGTGCTCCACCTGTCCAGGGGAAGCCACCCTGCGGCCGCGGTGGTCCCTGTCCGGGTGGGCTAAGTGGTCCAGCCGGATTTGGCAGACGCTGCGTCTGCGGGGGCGGCATTCCTGGTCGCATGTTGGGTCCCGGCGGTGGACCCATGAGCAAGTTGTTCTTGCTGTCTGTTGGACGTAGGGGCGGCGGCATTCCACCCCTGATCGCCATGTTGGGCGGCATTGGTGGTCGTGGCCCAACGCCAACCATTGGACGGGCGCCGGCAAAGGGTGGGCGTGGCTGGGGTGGCGGGCCCACAGCTGGACGCATCTGCGAGTGTAAAATAAAGTTTGGATTGGCTCTCTCTTTGAGCACATAATCGGTGCTGTTGCTGTTGCTATTGTTGTGGGTGGTGCTGTTGTAGTTTGTGTTCAAGGTGCGTTCTTTGGTGGGCAGCTGCTGGGGCTGCTGCTCCACTTGGAGTCTGGTCTTCGACCGCACTTGCTGCTGCCTGAAGCGTTCTGGATCGGTGTAGTTCACATTTCCCTGAGAGTAGTCGGGATTGGGCTGCTGACGCGGCTGCATGAAGCGTTCGGGCTCGGACTCCATATAAGAGCGCTGAATGGCGTCAGGATTGGGCAGCTGATTCGGCTGTACGAATCGCTCGGTGTCTGGTGTCTCCATATGGGAGCGCTGGACATAGTCAGGATTAGGCAGCGGCTTTGGCTGTTCCTGAGCAGAGTAGCTTGAAGTTGGTGTTGGACTTGGATTTACTTGCTCCTTGGTGGCGTACATCTTGCGGTCGAACGGTGCGCCCTGAACCTGAACCTAACGCCTGCGGTGTCGGTGCAGAAATGTGCAAGTGTCGGGTAATCCAATACCTGGCAGCCCAGCAACACACTCAACCAACCAACAACAGTTGGAGGAGGAGCAGTAAAAGGCGCCTGGCGGCCATCACCACATCATTTGCATACGTGCCTGCATGTGCGCCAAGTGTGGGTGCTGTTGTTGTGTACAGCTTGTGTGTGGCATGCAAATGTGTCTGTGCATACACTGAGAGAAAAGTGTCAAGCTTGAGTGAAGTCGAACCGCAATGCTAGTATGCTAAACATGAACGATTTACATATAATCCTAATAAAAATCGTATATAAATAATAAAATATCTTAAAATAAGTAATCATTTCGAATTACTAGAAATAAATATAAATTCTGAAAGAATCACACAACAATTGTTTAAGATACATTTTAGTACATCTCTGCTTTACTTTTGTTCCTTAAATATTACTTGGATTTATCAATTTACATATATTTTTGTATTGTGATCAGCTTCTTGAGATCGCACCTGATAAAAGTCGGATAAATGTTGGCAATTATTAGCTGACTTATATGGAGTATAATCGCGTATATAAATTTCTTTCATAGCTCCACAATTAGACTCCCATTTATACAATCTTTAAAATTGTACATTTTTACAATTTCAGTATTGAAAACTAAACGAAAAATCTACTTGAATGAAGATCTCTTAAGAAGCACTTCTTATACTAACCTTTTAGTTACTATTACCAATAAAAAAGTACTGTAAGTCATGAAAATCATACATCAAAATGGGCAAAGACTAGATTTTAGTAATGTCAAACTCAGTAGATACTGGTTTTTCTCGCCGTGTATATGTGTCTATATGAACACACATAGACCACCAGCAAAATATAGAATGAGTATTGTCTGGTATCGAGTGGAGCTCTCAAATTTGATGGCTTCTTCTTCTGCATTTGTTTACAGTTTATTGTTTTGGTTTATTTCGGATATTTGGTTTTGGGTTACCATTAGGGATATTTGTCATGAATTCCGCTCGCTGCTTGCAATATGACCCAAATCGTTGCTGTCGCTTATTGATTCAACAAAAGTTCGACAGTTCTAAGACCAGAACCAGACCAGAACCAGACCAGACTGGGCCAACTAAACTAAATCAAGCTGAATACTCAATGCGCCATTGGCCAAATTGTTGTTTGATTTTTGTTTTGCCAAAGGGTTTCCGAATTTGGTTAGTTTCAGTTCAGCGCACGGTGTTTGTTCGTTTTATTTATTGTCTGGCTGGTTGGTTGCCACAGAAATTGTCTCGACATGTCTGGCATGCCACTTGCAACCGATTTGCAAGGTCAAAACTATAATAAGTACAAATATTAATCATGTTAATCGAACTATCGAACACCATTCTCAATTTCATATTCATTTCGATTTTGATTTCAATTGAACTTTAATTTTTTCTAAAGGCTAATAAATTGAGATTAATTGATTTGAAAATTGATATTAAATATGCTTTTCCAATAATTACTTCCAGATATTTTCTTTTGAGCATAGAAAAGTGTTTAAGAACTTAAATAAAGGGGTTTAAAAGGGTCATAGATTTCTTTTACATACAATATTTTCGAAAATGTTTAGTTAAGAATTTGAAAAAAAAACGTGACGAAATTTTCAATTTTTATTATGCATATGCATCAATTAATTTCACCACAAGATCTTTTCTAATTGTCCAACAATATTTACGAATATTATCTTTTTGGTAGTCAGCTTGATTTAAGACAGGAATAAGTGTTAACAAAAATGATGAGGCTTATACAGGTTTATAATTTGAGCAACTTGTTCGCTTAACAACTGCAAATATTTAATAAGAAATTACTCAAGCTAAGCCGTGAAATAGATAAACTTGAAATCAATTGAAATTCCGGCGAAATGAGAGCGAAATTGAAACCCAGAAGAGGCTCTACTTATGCAAATTGTGTTAAATTAAACGATGACAAATTGTCTCTTAAATGGTTTGCTTTGCATAAATTCGACGATTTTGGTGCCTTTTGTCGTGCAGTGTTCTTTTTATTGCAATTACAAAAGCAACTTGGTAACAACAACTAGTGCAAATACAGGAAACTATAACTCACCGCATCAGTATCACTCATATCAATGTGTTTCGGTTTCGGTTTCGGTTTGGGTTTTTGGTTTTGGTTTTTGGTTTTTTTTTTTAGCGGGTTCTCGGCACTACCTGGCAATTAACTTTGGGCAAACGCGAAAAAAGAAAATTTTGTGTTGGAATTTGTTTTTTGGCAAATCGATAAAAAATGCACACTGAAAATGTTCGCAGCACTTTAAAACTATATACTAAGTAGTTAGTCGAACTAAACGGAGCTGTGGCCTTAGCACGTGCAAAGTCACAACTGAGTGCGGCAACAACTTTGCGAGGCGCCTCGCCTTGGTTGGTGCTGCAACCCCCAAAAACCAACCGCCAATTAGTGTGGCCCAAACTGATTTGTTTTTTGCTGCAGAAATTCCAGCGGTAAAAATGAGCGCAAAGCATTCAACGTTCAACGTTAACGTTTTTCATGTCAACTCTGTAACTGTAACAGTAAAATAGAGGACTTCTGGCCAAATTGATTATCAACAACAATTTGTGGGGGCAAACACGGTAAAGTCATATACTCGATGCCCTCGCAATGACTGCGCATTTGCTTGCCACACAAACATACACTCAGCGAAATGATTGTGCATTTTGTATTCCAATCAAGAATTTAAAACGAAATTCATTTTTCTGTGCAACTATTTTGGGAAAAGTGCGGTCAGATTGGTTTCCCTTCCTTTGAAAAACAGTTTTCATTCTTAAAATATTTCTAGCATCAATAACTTGATTACTTGAAATAAGTTATTTAGTTAATATATCAAGTACTAACACTATTTATTCAATTATGATATTCATCACTGCATGTAAATAAATCAGCTTGAATAAGTAGTTCAAGTTCTTCAATTAAGATATAGAAAGCCTTAAATTTATTTTAAGTACAAAAATACCTAATATAATTTGATCCTAAGATATAAAAAGTTTTACACTTATTTTAAGTACAAATATTCTTGTAGTCAATTGAGATTTATTTCATTTTTCATTCAATTTCGTTTTTTTTTTTTTGTTTCGTTTTTAATTTCTATAATCAAACACTTTTTACTGGTAGTAAGAAAATTCTGTTAATTAAAGTAAATAAGCTTTAATCAGTAACTCAAATTTTTTAATACAAATCTGGAAAATTG